TTCGACACCCGGGATAGCATTTTCGCAAATAATCGACGTATTGTATTCATATCGTATATCAGGCTATCTGCCAAAAATGCCGCAGTGGATTTTCTTCAAGCCTATCATATCTTAGAGTTCAGTTCGAATTACACTTTTGGTTCACTATTTTGAATATCTACAGTATTGAATAATAATGCAATGTAAAAGAATGTCATAAAATATTTGTATTTCGCAGATATGTTTTATCATTAAGGTCGTTTAATCGAAACATCAAAGCTTAGCATGTACAAAGTTCTTTAGTGTTATTGAAATTGACTGATTCTTCGGGACCATCGATTGAAAAACTTGGTACATTTAAGATAGAACACTGCTTTTTTATATATCTACCTTCTACCTATCTCAATGTTTTATTGTAATAAAATTATGATTAAGTTGTTGCTTGAGGTTTCCAGAGATGTTGCACGCACCTCTATATCTCATGAACAGAGAGTAAAATAGGAGTCTGCATTTTAAACTTCTGAATTATCTTTCGATAATATTGAGTGATCTCTTCCTTTCACGGGTTTTAATCGTCTAACTCTTATTTCATTGACTGTTTAATTTTGTTTATTTGTGTATGATTGTTATTTTTGAAGGTCGTTTTCACTAAAGCATCAGAACTTCTTTTTACTGCAACCAAAAACCAAGTGTACTTCGGAAAAATAAAAGTGGTCATACCTAAATCTTGGAGTACACAGACGCACTACAAACAGCTCCCTGCGCTGTCTTCACTGGAAACCTACATCAATATTGGCAACTGGAAAATAAAATCACCGCATGTAAGGTCAAAAACATTTCAATGTGGGGAGGAGGGTTTGGTAATGTATCTACAACCTTCATTCTTTCTGCAAACCGGCAGGACCAACTATGGAAATCATGGTACATTGTAGATATAGGATCTGCTCTCTTTACATTGACGTTTTATTGTTTACACATTCTTTGAGGTTTGGAATGACAAACGCCAAACTTAAATAAAAATGAAATAAAGATGATAATAGAAGAAAATAGAAATATAAAACATCTAATTATTTAATGTTACCTAATACAGAACAAATGTGGAAATGTAAATAGTCACGAGACACAGATCTGAAAGAAAAAATGCCAAGTTCTACCTTTTTACCTTTTCGAAAGGATGAATGTCGGTGTCTGCGTTTGCATTGTGGTAATGTGAAATTTCTTTGTTCACCCATTTAATTCAATTTACATCTATTTTCAGAAAATGTTATAGTTCATGAATGGGGCCATCTTCGCTGGGGTTTATTTGATGAATATCCTACACGTATTGGTAGATCGACAGACGTTTTTTATCAACACGAGGGTAAATGGAAACCTGTCGGGTAAATGTTTTATCTTTGCTTTGTTGAATAAATTTTAAATATTCATCATCTTACCATTAGGACGTTTTTGTCATTGTTACGTTATGAAAAAATATTTTTGTGATATATATACAAGTATGTAATTAAAATCAGGGCATACGTAGCTGTAGAGTATTAAATGACACAACTATAACATTAGATGGAAATTGTATGTAAATGCAAGTTATACAAAAAGTTACTCAAAATATTATAATGTAAAACATTATATTGATAAATAAAATCCACCAACCAATTCGAGATGACCCCGTTCTCTACCTTCCAGCTGTGTCTTATTATGTTATAGCATACACATCTTGGCGTGTTTCCTTTTGCCAAGGTTACATAAAAATGCATGCTAAGACAGCAAGTTTATAACAAAGTAAATGCATTGTTTGATGATAGATAAAAATATATTTCCACATTTGATCTCAGTAGGATATCAGCTTGAAACGTTATTTATAATTGAGTATTTATCGTCTTCGCAAACATGAATAAACATATTTAAAGCAGCAAGCCTCCAGATAAATGCTTATTTTCATGAACATTTTGAAATGTAATTAAAAGTTAAATGTTGTATAGTAACCTAAAGGAAGCATTTTACTCATTATCTATGACACTTACAACCCACGATTTATTACAAAAAAGGTCAAATATGCAAAAAAAATTCTTTTACTTCGTAACTAACGCAGTAGAAATACAGTTATACATAACAACAACAACAACAACAACAACAACAACAACAACAACATTTTATTTTGTAAATAAAGGCCTCCGGCCCAATATACACAGTATAATCAAAACAGATATACATGTTTAGCTGTGTCTACAATATACATTGTTATATCCTAATTCCTATTGATATTAATTAACAAAAAAAGCAATACATGTATTCTGTACTTTTCCTCATTTTTAGTTTTAATCAAATTACAAAAATTATGGAATGTATAATCATGGAGATACATAACGTTGTATTTGTTGGGAAAACCTATTACAAATAAAAAATACATGAAATTCATCTTCGATATACGAGTTGTTATAATTTTGCAAACTGTGTTGGCAAATTCTATCATATCTTGGTATACCCAAATTTCGTCCAGTTTCTATATATAATTTATGACTAGAACATCTAAATCTCGATAATGATCTTTTAACATAAAATGGCATATCAATAGATGTATACTTTTCAGGATTTAACATAGATTTGAAAAATTTATAGGTGTCACATCGGGGTGAATTCTGAATTTCTTCCATCCAATTTTGTGTTTTACAATCAATAATCCATAAATAGATTGATATCCCAAATTTACTAGTATTGACTTAGCCATACAAAGCCAAACCCATTAGTATACAATAATTTGTTTACTGAAGTAGCTCAGTTTTTCTTTCCAACATCATTTTGTCCAAATAACATCAAGTAACAATTTCTAGGATATCTATGTTCTGGCATACAAAGAAGTTTACACCAATATTTGATAATTTTTACATGATGATCAATACATAAAGGCATCCTTGCACATTCTCCCAGTGCAACATTATCATTAATAGAATAATTTACACCTAGAATTACATATATACAATATTGTATTTGAACTCGTTCAAGAATTTCGCAGATTGCACTTCCATAAATTTCGGCACCATACAGTCAAATAATTTAAAATAATCAGAATGTAAAATGTTTCCAAAATTTCTTTGATTTAATAGCATAAATAGATATCCTAGCTTGTGCAGCAAGTTTAGTTTTTGCCTTTGTCCAAGATAATTTAGGTGTAAATAAAAGACCCATATACATATATTTGTACATTTAGGTGACATTTACTGAACTGCCGTTGTATAACCATTTTTCATATGATCTGAGCCCTTTTCTGAATACAATGATTTTAGTTTTATTCTCATTTATAGACTGACCGGTATTATTACAAAATTCTGAAATTGAATTTAATTGAGACTGAAGTTCGATTGCAGTATCAGCGCAATTTGCAACATCATCAGCGAAAAGAATGCATATGATATCGGGAATATGATCCGTAATGAATATACCGCGATGTTCCTTATTACGCAGAAAGGGAGATTTATTTATTATAACTCATTTATATACAGGTCAAACATAATCGTACTTGTTACGTCCCCTTGTCTTATACCTATGTTACATTTAAAATATTCTGTAGTTTAGGTAGTACTTACTTGTACACATCAGCGCAGTTTTGAGTAAAGAACACGAAATAAATTCCCCCTAGCGCTACATCTGTTAATAGTATTGAATAAATTAAAATGTTTAAGTCCATCAAATGCCTTTTAAAAATCAACATAAAGAACATTAAATCGTCCGCCCGGTTTACTACCATACTTTGTAATATAAAAATATTATAAATTGTAGAGTAACCGGCTCGAAATTCGGCTTGAGATTCATCTATTTTATCAAATTTCTCAGCCCAAGTATATAACCTATCATGTATAATATTAGAAAATATCTTATACATAACATTGATTAAGGAAATTTCTCTATAATTAAAAGGGTCATCCTGAGGCCCAGACTTGTACATGGGTACTACACATGTACTATTATACTATCCCTCCAAATGTCTTACTAAATATCTTATTAAACAATAAGGTGCGATTTATGACGAAGTACTGTTATAGAATTCTGCTCCGATGCCATCACTTCCCTGTGATTTTCAACATTTCAACTTGATTATACTTTTGATGACTTCATCAGAGGAAATTTCAGAATTTAAATACAGATTTTCCTCATCAGTATTAACTCTAAAGTCACAATTACTTTCATATATATTAGGCTGGTTACTTTTAAATAATAACTCATGAAAATAATCAAACCAAGCTCCCGTATCTATCTATGAAGATTGTTCATTTATATTACTATTTCTAGATTTTAACAGATTCCAAAAGGCTTTTGGATTTGTTCGTAACATAATTAGTTGATCGCGCTTAGACTTTTGGTAAAGATACTTTTTTTATATAGCACGTTTTTTTAAAACGTTTTCTTAGTCTAATATGTTCTTGGTCCAGCGAGATCGTCGTAGAGCTGCGTATTTAAGCTGTAAGTTGTTTCACATTCTCGATCCCACCAAGGTTGATTGTTATTTACACTATTTCGAGCTACATATCTAACGCGCATATTTGCTGATGATTTTTTATAAATATCAATGGTATGATTAACTGCATTGTTAATACTTAGATCTTTTTCATTAAGTAAATTCTCTCGTATAGAATTTTACTCCGCGGTAAATAATTGTAAGAAATCCGACATATACCTACATGTATCATATACCTATCATTCCATCTATATTTGTCGACATATACTTCATTAAAGGTTTCATTTTTCTTATTATATCTAACAAATGGTTGCCCTCGCTCTAAAGTCAATCTTGCACAAATGTGACAATGTTTATATTTACACAAGGGCCTTGACCTGTTTCCTATTCTTCGCCTATAGCCTCACTTTCGATTCCTCCTTCGTTTCCTGACTGGTCGCCATCGCTAACAAATGTATCATGTGACCCTGTTTCCCGCCTAAAATTTCGATCACGTGGTCCTGTAACACGTTCGCCTCTCACTCATAATGAAAAATTAACCATTGATCGCTAATAACCTGTAAATTATTTCTTGAATCTTGAATCATTCCACTACTTCTCCTTAATTTTTTTTACAATTTATCTCATAATTGATTTTATTGAAATAATTTGGCTCATGATCATCTGGAGGCATACTGCTTTAATTTAGCCTGAGCAACATTTACATCCTACTATAAATGTTCTGGAAATCAAAGAATATTGACTCAGTAAACAGAATCCCATAGGAAAGTCCAAAAACGACAAAAATGAAATTGTTTCATGCTTTGTTTTATAGAGCCTGTTCATGAGCGGTATTGGAAGTATGTATTTTTGTTAATTGCTTGTCAATACCTACACCGGACACAATTTACACTAATGTCACAATTAAATAAAAACAAGCAAAAACGGAACCCCGAAAGAATGCTATATTAACTAAAATATTCCTTTGAATTTACAAAAAAAATAAAAAAAACAAAGCTAAAGAATCAAGTGACCATTACATCAGCATTGTAAGTGCTGTGCGGTTTTGAATTGAAAGAAAAACAGCAAACAATGACTCACAGTTTTTTTATCATTATCTGATTTATCTATTAAAACGCAAAAAGAAGACATGAGCAAATAAGTATGAAATTGGAAATTTTAGAGAAGGCAAAATATCTTTAAAAATCTTTTTGTTTCTGATGCATTAATGAACATTATTTACTTAGAGTTTGGATTTGTTATAAAGGAGATTACCCTGTGCTATGTTAAATTATATATATATATATAATATGTTGTTTTTTACGCATATTTGTACTGACGCTCCGTTATTAATAAAAAGCGATGATGCATTTGCCGTCAATAATTTGTTTTTAAATAAATTTGTTTGTGTTTTTCATTTCAGGATACTTTTGATACACACCACATACTTATTTTCTTCTCCGAGTCTTTTTATTGTAACAAAAATTTCTTTAAATAAACAAAATTGAAAATCGCATTTGTTATTAAGTTAGCAATAACAGCAAAGTGTTGAGACATGATTGATGAAATAAAATTGTTAACTACGTATTTTCATGAAGGTGTTGAGCATTAAAGAGTTTGAAGGTTTCTGCATTTCCTATTTTTCATGTAATAATTATTATATGTACTTATTATAAACTACAACTCCAGATTTGCCAAAATACATTACAACAACTTAAATATCAGTAAAACAAAACATGGATAAGAAAGAATTAGCCGGTATGGACATTCGTTGTCAGAAAAAAATCGAATCATAATAAAACCATTACAATAATAATCCTTCTCAATGGGCATCAGTGACTGAGTTGATTGATTTAAATTTAAACAACTTGCCCTTCTCTTACAAGAATCCCGACTTTATCACACGGGAAACTTATCCAACTTGCTAACGGAGGTTCATGAGCCGCAAACAACTGACAAATGGGCGCCTGTAACTCAACCAATAAGCCGAAAAAATCATTTGAATTTCACTGTCAGTGTAACGTAAAATCTATAAAAAAATTCGATGATTTTCGTAATCCACATTCTTTACATTGTCGGGCGTTTCATGAAATAATAAATACATAAATTTTCTTTTATAACAATTGTATGATTTCAGGTGTTCGCATAAAGTGCGAGGTCGGATTGGAAGAAATACTAACTGCAACACAGAACACAAGAAATGGTGTGACGCTGATAATTCAATGAAAAAGATGGAAAATACTTGCTATTTTTGTCCTTACACGGATCAAGATGTGAAGATAAGTTTGATGGGATATCAATACATTGACCAGGTACGGAACATACGCTTGTCAAAAATTTCATACAAATTCTTCATATGTCTTCTTTGCGTTTGAAAAGTAATCAATTTTGTCTTTTATAATTTCAATATAGGACTGGGCATTTTCAACACATGGAATGTGTCTAGTTAATAATCTTATTGACCATTTCCATTAGTTCAATTACTAAATGATATACTAGTTATTGATATCGATTGGGCAAGATTATTAATGTATATCTGGAGAATTTTGTTTATAATATAAACTATTATGTTTGGCACTGTCCAAAGTTGTGAGCTTTGTTTAATAATCAGTTAAAAAAATTAATTTATCAGAATATACAAATTAAATAGTTAGTGTCTAACGGCATAATTATAAGACTAATGAATTGTGTTGATATCTATAAAAAGTTGTTGATATTTTTTTAAGATGTCTATGTTTTGCGATAAAGACGATGAAACTGTGCCAGAAGACGAGCGTCACAATAGAGTAGCACCAAACGCTCAGAACAAATTGTGTGATGGGAAAAGTGCTTGGGAAGTAATGAGGGAACACGAAGACTTTAAAAGTAAGTAATGACGGCGCCATACAATGTCTTCAAGGCGCATATATTATGGCACTTAATATACAGTAAATGATTATAAATTATACACGAGCATCATCGCGCTGCTTCTTTTGCATATAACCTTTTATTTTAATGTATAAATTTTAAAATTCAAATACACTTTTTTAACATTATTTTGAGACATTGACCAAGAACATAACTTCAAATTAAGAATTCATCACTTGTAAAATGATGATGTTTAGATGTTTCATGATATGAATGTGACTTACTTGTAAATAATTCCCGTTTCAAAGTGGTAGCGTACACAATTTCTACCTTGTTTCGATGGAATCCGCTTGCCATGAACTCAAGTTCTTACATGTAATGTTTAGATATATTGCACATTGTCAAAAGACTTGAAAGTTGTAGCATAAACATCTTATCTAAAATTGCCACAACTTATGACTACTCACCACTTCGTCAAATTATTTATTTTAGAACAAATTAACGGACACATGTTTTCGATATTTTTTCAGTGTCAAGTGAGGAAACACTAATTGAACCAAACACAACACCAGATTTTGAATTTATTCAAGAAAACAACATTTATATGGTTTTTGTGTTAGATGTCTCTGGAAGCATGGTAAAGATTTTTTTTATTTAATTATCATGGAAGTTAAGAGAATAATATCAAATCTTCAAATACTTGTAAACGGAGTTCATTGACACTTGCGTTTGAAAATGACAACCTAGCTACCTTTACTATTAATTGATTTTTCAAAGTTAATTACAATAAAGAAAAATGTGTAACAAATTATTGTTTTATTAAATTTACGTGATACCCTTTTAAATCTAAACATAATTGGATAAATGTGCAGGTATATACAATTTTAGATAAGCACAATTGGAATTCTAGCTCAAGCTGGGGAATATGTTATACAAGAAAAAATTCCTTTTGGAAGTAGCCTGGCAATTGTTACATTCAATGATGATTCAAACAGAAGATTGGATATGAAACAAGTGAACTCACAAGAGGACAAAGACGAAATTGTAAAGGCTCTTCCTTTACTTACTGGTGGGGGTACTTGCATTGGATGTGGTATTGAAGCAGCAATACAAGTAAGCATGATCACATGGACAAGTTGAGTTTATATATATATATATATATATATATATATATAAAGAATTTTATTTTCAAATACTTAATCGTCACGAGCCAAAATATGGTATGGTTTTTCTGTTTTCAGGTTTTGATTAGTTGATTACAATGAGCAATGACAAGAGCACCTCTAGGCGGAGCATTAGATGCCCAAAAATGTTGTTTTTTAGGGATTAAGCATTTGTAAGACATGGCAATGAAATAAAGTATTACCTCCTTCAAAAAGAAATCCTCCTTTGTAGCTGAAGCCTTCATAAATATACAGTTGCTGTTTCCAAGCACCACCTGTCCATCAAGTTGTTATCTTGTTATTAAATTGTTATGACGGATGGACGAAAAGACGCCATGGGTATAACATAAAATAAGTATTTTTTTTTGGGGGGGGGGGGCATATAATTAATATAAAAATGAACTCAATATAAGTGTTCATCATATGAAGTTTGACAGATGTAAAACTGTTAACAATATTTAAGTCATTTGGAAACCACAATTTTTAGAATGAAGATCATTGTGACCCTGACCTTTGACCTTATGACCCTAAACCAATAGGGATCATGTATTGGACTTCCCTGTTTATCATATAAAATACTGACCATGACCTTGTGACCATAAAATCAATAGAGGTCTTCTACCTGATATGGACAATCATCTTATGAAGGTTGAATATAATTGGCTAAATGGAACTTAAGTTATGCACCGTGAACTGTTTTCAGTCTTAAGGTAATAATGACCTTGACCTTTGACCATGTAACCCAAAAATCAATAGGGATTTTTACCTAATATGGACAATCATTCTATGAAGTTTGAACACTGTGGGCCAAACGGAACTTAAATTATGTTTTGGAACTGGTTTCAGTTAAAAAGTAATAGTAACCCTGACCTTTGACCTTGTTACACCAAAATCAATAGGATATTCTACTCAATATGGAAATCATCCTATGAATTTAAAATATTGTAGGCCTAATGGACCTTAATTTATGCTCTAGAAACTGTTTCCAGTTTTTATGTTTAAGTGACCTTAACCTTCGACTGTTTGACCCCAAAATTAATAGTTTTTTTTACCCAATATGGACAACCATTCAATGAAGTTTGAACACTGTAGGCCGAATGGAACTTAAGTTATGTTCCGAAAACTGTTTTCAGTTTTATAGTAATAGTGACCTTTGACCTTGTGCCACCAAAATCAATAAGGATCGTCTACCTAATATGGACAATCATCCTATGAAGTTTGAATATTGTTTGCCAAATGGAACTAAAGTTACGCTCCGGAAACCAAGTTTATTCCGGACGGACGGATGCCAGCGGGTATTATATGATATGCCCGAAATTCTTTCGGTAATATAAACAAAATGTTTTGAGATGAAATCACGAATCTCAGACCTTTGTCCTGTAATGCTATCGGTAGCTGCCACCACCCTTTGTTCTGATGACGTACATGTCGGTTATACTCGTGTTATACATTTTTTGACGTAAACGAAGTTTATGTGAAGTGATTTCACATTTTCTATGATATTTAAGTAAATGTACACGATTTTTAAATAACATCATCGATTTTAATTACAAAAAGATGTAATCAATTATTTGAGTCAATCCTACCGCAATAATTGTATTAAAAATAAGATAATAAAATCGGTCTTATTTGTCTTTGTATTGGCGCAAAAAAATGTTATCTTGCTGTGAACGATTAATTAACAAGAACCACCACTGGAAGGGTGGGGGGGGGGGTGGCAACGCTCGATTTTTTCTAAAAACAAACAAGGTAATGTTTGAACAAATCTTAACGTTTCTGTTTTATAAATTTAATCAATCCGTCTTGTCAAATTAGTTTTGTCAAAGTATGAATCCTTTCGATATATATCCGAAGGTGCATACAGAAGAAAAAAAGAAAACGATTCAATAACAGCAAAGTTACAGCCAGTTACAGCCAAAAAAATGAAAATTTATTTGACCTTATAAGTCAAGGTCATTTATGAGTGAAAGTCAAGTTCTGTCTAGTAATTTTTAAGGACTTCCCTTGAAAATTATAATGTCCAAGTTTGAAGACGATATATTAAAAAAATAAGAAAGTTACAGGCAATAATAGCAAATAAATGAAAATTTCAATAATTTGCTCTTCAAAGTCAATGTCATTTACGAGTGAAGGTCAAGGTCTGTCTTGTTTTTTTAAGAAATATCCTTTAAGATTATTATGTTCAAGCTTGAAGACAATCCATTCTAAAATAACAAAGTGACAGCTAATAATAGCCAAAAGAAGAAAAAATTCAATAATTTGACCTTCAAAGTCAAGGTCATTTATGAGTAAAGTTCAAGGTTAGTGTAGGCCACTGAAAACTCTTGTCCCAAAGGTTGTTGTAACCAAGTATGAAGACAATATACCAAGAACTAAAAAAAGTAATGATCCAGGTACACTTTTGCGGATGGCAACGCCGCCAGGACTTTAACAATACCTCTCCTTTTTTTTAAAAAAAGTCGAGCTAAAAATTGATCTTCGTTATCAAAAGGCTGACCTTCTGTTTCCTTATTCACGACATATAATTACGTTGTTCTCAAATTTAAAGTTCAACATACTTTAGGGGGCCAATCAGACTTGCAATTCATTTATTTTCCAATGCAAGTTATTTTGTATTTCATGCTTTTCGGTGGCTATATAATAAAAAGAAAATTTGTTTAGTTTAATGTAAGCCCGAAATATATTTCATCTTGTGAACACCAAAAGTTCATATTTCACTCGTGGCTGCGCCACTCGTGAAATATACCTTTTGGTGCTCACTCGGTGAAATATATTCCGATCTCACAATGAACTAAACAAATATCCTCTATTTTTTAAAAAATAAGAAATTATTTGCCCTTCTCCATCCCACTATTTTGCATAATGATTTTGATATATCATAAATTTATTCTGATACGTCAGTTGAATTTGAGAAAATCATCCAAACCAAATCATTAAATGTCATATCTTTTGTAATGTTTTTTTTCATTAACATTTTCAACGTTCTGTTCTTTATATGGGCGTGAAAAATCAAGAAGTCGATGTTCTTGAAGGTGAAATTCATACTCTGTGTTGACAGTGCGCAGCGTCACTTTTAAACAAGTAAATCGTATAAATCTATGTACTATGTTAGTTATGTGTTAGTTCGTGTTATCTTAGATATATTTACTTTTGTAAGTACTGTTTACATTTTCCAGGCATTTAGTCACCTTATTGGTTGAATATTTACACTGCAAAAGGGTCACGGTCCTCGAGATTGTCATCATTTTTGTAGATTAATAGCGAATCAATCGATGTCTGTGTCGTTCAAACATATAAAAAGGAACAATAAATAGATCACCATCATTGAAATTTTAAATTATCAAATTCATTCAAGGTTTGTACAACAATGCAAATCAAATCACGATAAAAATGTATAATAACGATATACATGTACATGTAACGAACTATCAATATGTTACCTAGGGATATATGTACGTCACTTCAAGTTTGAAGTCGCACTTGCATAACAAAAAGAAACCGTAGTCTTTTTGTAAAACGGGACTTGTAAGGGTTTCTAAAACAAAAGTCGATAATTGTATGCGCCCATAATGAAGACAAAAATCCAATTACTTGTTGATTAATTGTCTTTTTTGTATTATGACCATGCTATGCTATTGAAGGAACTTTAAGGTAGGAATAACATTCTTAAAGTGGCAGTATGACAATCAAATAGTTGTGTATTACTCTCTAATTCATTTGTCAAAATGTATTACTAATTACCCCGCCTATTACCCTTATCTAAGCATGCCACGCTCTGTATCAAATTAGTTAATAAACGATAGTCCAGCATTAAAAACGTGTTAATTCTCTATAAAAACATTACAATTTGGCGACGAGGATAACTGGACGAAGATAATTTCGGGAATTTTATCCATAAGATATTAATGTTTCCATCAAAATACTGGATTTAATTTATAAGTATTAAAATGGCTGCATTAATTGGACATTCATCTGGATTTGATGTCAATTCAGAATCATGGACGTGCTATCAAAAACGTTTAGAGCAGTACTTTTTAGTAAATGAAATAGATGATGAGAAAAATGTTCCAGTATTATTAACATTGTTTGGAGAAAAAACATATATGTAACTACGAAATTTAACTTCACCTGACAAACCTTCAACACAATCATATGACGATCTTTGTGAAATATTGAAAACACATCTTAACCCAAAGCAATTGATACCTCAAACGGGTTGGATCGGTGATAAAAATGCTGAAATACTATCGGTATTTATCGTATCGGAGCTAAATCGGGCGTAACGCAGATTAATCGGTGTTTGATAGCTAGTCATCAGTGGTTAAACACTTTCCGTCAGATATGGCCGTTGATTCATATTTGGTTATCTTTGTCCGATCGACGATATCGGTGATTAAGAGCTTGCATATCTCTTGTTATAGTTGCTGTCGGTTATTTGTAAAATATTTTCACCGATCGAGAATTTTAAACATGTTAAAAAACCCCAATCGGTAATTTTTCACCGATGAAACTTATCTTTAACCAATAGCAGTTGATAGGTGGAAAACAGGTGACCAATAATAATGGCTTGCATATCTCTTGTTATAGTTGCTGTCGGTTATTTGTAAAATATTTTCACCGATCGAGAATTTTAAACATGTTAAAAAACCCCAATCGGTAATTTTTCACCGATGAAACTTATCTTTAACCAATAGCAGTTGATAGGTGGAAAACAGGTGACCAATAAGTGATATCGGTGTTAAATACCTTGTCATCGGTTCACTCCATAATTTGGCTAATATAACAACCGATCAATCACCGATGGCTCTGTGTAACTGGGGTGTTAGGGCCCAGTTACAAAGACGGTCGGTCCCCAGTCGGTCATTTAATTTTAAATTTACTCGCTGTTATGATCGGTTGTCATGCGTGATTTTATTTCTGGTTTTCTGTGTAAACGGCCATCGGTGACAGAAAGCAAACTCAAATGGGAATTGGTCGATGTTTAAATGCTGAAATACTTTTTTTTTTCGTTTGTAAATCTGAGCTAAATCGTGCGTAACGCAAATTAATCGGTGTTTGAAAGTTAGTCATCAGTGGTTAAACACTTTCAGTCAGATATGGCCGGTGATTCATATTTGGTTATCTTTGTCCGATCGGCGATATCGGTGATTAAGAGCTTGCATATCTCGCGATATAGGTTGCCGTCGGTTATTTTTAAAATATTTTCACCGATCGAGAATTTTAAAAGTGTTTAAAAATCCCGATCGGTAATTTTTCACCGATGAAACTTATCTTTCCCCAATAGCAGTTGATAGGTGGAAAACAGGTGATGAATAGGTGATATCGGTGTTAAATACGTTGTCATCGGTTCACTCTATAATTTAGCTAAAAAAAACTACCGATCAATCACCGACGGCTCTGTGTAACTGGGGTGTTACATTACTATGTTGTAAAATACCACCGAACGAACTCGTGTGAACTGTAATTAAAAGTCCAAGGTGAATTAAGAACAATAGGTCGATAGTTTGATCTGTTTTTTCTCGAATATCTCATGTTGTTAAATTATTCTACCAGTTGTCTTTATCTTGTTATAGTATTAATTAAATGATAATTGACTAAAATGTTAAGAAGGGAGAACTGTTGTGTATAACTCTGTTATTCATTGGTCAAAATGTATTACTAATAAGCCCCGCCTGCTAACCTTATCTAAGCATGCCACGTTCTGTATCAAATCAGTTTCAGCATTAAAGACGTTTTACTTCTCTATCGAAAACATAACAAAATGCTGAAAGGTGAGTAATTAGGTGAAAGCGGAAATAGGTGTACATTTTGACATTATAATTAAATTTAATTTTATAACGTCAATTCATCGATATTCTTAGTGTTATCTACAAAAGCATTTAATCAACTTATGGGCAACAAGCCTATAAAAACAATTAAAGCCATGTTTGTTTACAATGTATAATTTAACATAATATGAAATTAGGTAAAGCCTATGAACGGGGAAGTCTGTTGTTTTATTTTACATTTTCCGTTTTAAAAGTGTCATTCTGTATTTTATACGCTGCTTCTGTGTGTTCTGGTTTTCTGTCTTATTATGGTTCCTATCCAAGATCGTTGCCTATAATTCCACGGCTTTTTTCCTATAATTCCACGGCTTTTATCGTTATCTTTTATGCCGAAAAATTGCGATTTGTCAATTGTCGGATTTCTCCACCGTTTATCATTGCGTTACGACGCCTAACAAGAAATGACACTGTAAATTTCGCTTATATGTATAGAATATAGAATTCTATATATTATTTTGTTTTTCTGATGTTTTTTTATTTCGTTTTTAATATACACGTGTAGTCTTTAGTCGGGTAAGCCAAAGACCGAGGCCGCTATGCAGCCTCGGACTTTGACTTCCCCGTATAAATAACATATGACCGATGTCCTTATATTGTATTTATCCATTTTCAGGACCTTTGTACATATACAAAGTGATCCATTGTACGTGCATTATGTTGAAGGTATACTTGCCATTTCTTATATTGTCTTATCTATAGGTACTAACAGAAGAACTAGGGTCTGCTGAGAATGGACAAATTGTTCTAATAACAGATGGCATGGACAATAGTGGTAACCTTAGTATGTCTAGATCGAACGCAATAGCTTCAAAAGTAAAAATTAACACAATAGCGGTATCTCAGCAAGCTATCCCACTACTTTCTGATATCGCAGAAGAAACGGGAGGAAAGCCTTACACCTATTTAGAAATAGAAACAATCAGCTTTGCCGCTGTTTTTAATGAAGCGATATCGGGAGGTACCTCTATAACAACACTGGCAAGTCAACCTGCAATGGTAGGTAATTTTCTCTGTCTGTCTTAATAGGCCTTTAAATGATTTAGATCCATTGCTTACCTATTATATTTTATTCTAACGTATAACACTATCGGATTTTTTTCTATATTAACAAAGAAGGCCCGAAGCGTGCATTATTCTACAACAATGCACTCGCCGTTCTTAATATCTTCCTGAGTATTTTCACATTGAGGGCGCTATTTTGTTTAAATAAAAATCAATTTTTTGTCGAATTTTGTTCTTTAATGCAGTCGTTAACGCTGTAAAGACGTTTAATGTGCTGTTTACGTGACGTCACAATGTAGCACCAAACAGCACGTGCAAAACAATAAAATCAAAAACGCTTTTTCAATGTCGCAAAAATTTATATTCTTTAAAAAAAAGATCTTTTGAACAATAGCTAAAATCTTCGATTTTTTTTTCGTTTCAAATATGTTTTAAACTAACTTCATTGTTTCAAACAATATTGCAAACACTGTCATAATTTAACTGCATTGTACAAATATGTAGGAGAAGACCTTTATAAGCTTTATAGCTTTCGGCTCTAATCCTTTTTCATTCGTGTATCTAATTATTGTAAATTTATTAACAACATGTACTTGTATCATTGTTTGAAATAAACTATGTTTAAACTAAAACTAATGTCGCAAACGAGTTAAATTTTACATTTATTTCACTTTTGATAATTAATATTTCGCTTGAAAAATTATAGAGTGAAGTAAAACAAACAAACAAAGTTTTATCAACGTTTTCAAAATTCGTTATTCTCAAAATGTTTCTACATATGGAAGATATATCGACAGTTTTTTTTTCAACCCACTGCAACAGTAAAAAGAACGTTTCTATTGGAAACTCTGAGGCGAAAACAAATTAAGCCACCAAACATAAAGACTAACTTAAAAATAATAATATTTTTTCTTGACGTCTTAGCATGGATATAAGATATTAATTTCTTTTTTGCATTTTTGTTATAATAATGCACGGTTTTCGTTCAAATGCTTTGTAATTAATCACTCGGGT